ATAATTTAAATGATACTTATATCTAATGATAAAATCCATAATCCTCGATATATTGAATTAAAAATTAATTTTTATGATAAGTATAATTAATTTTTACGGCAAACTTTATATTGAAAATTTTTATCACTACGGTAGACACAAGAATTTAAGGGTGTAATTAATAAATAATTAAAAATATAATAATAAAAATAATTATAATATAATAAAAATAATTATAAGTGAAGATTAAAATAACTTATTAATATAATTAATTTTTTAAAAAAATTATAATTTTAAATTTTAAATATAGTTAAAATGTGTAATTATTTTCATAAAAAATAATATAAAATATGCGACTACCATAAACATAGACACAATAAATGAAAGAAATGAGTAATAAATATAATTAAACAATTAGTGTGTTTGATTGTAATTTAAAATTAAATGTTAGTTTAAATTTTAAATAAAATAATTATTTTAATATGATATTTAAAAAAATAATATATTTTTATTTAAAAAGATATTATAATGACGTGGAGTAATATTATAAATACATCCCATCCCACCTGCAGCTAAATTTTTGGGTGCGTTAACTTTATTTTTTTTTATTTAAATAATATTTTATAAATAAAATAATAAATTATATAATGTCTCTTTCTATTTTAGTAAAAATATATAAAATATTATGTGTTTTATTTATTGTATGAAATCTCTGTAATTTGCAACATTCTTCATGTTCAAAATTAATATTTGATTCTAAATAAAGACATAAATTACTCAAGTTTTATACAAATAAAAAACGTAAAATATTTTAAATATTCTTTGAATAAAATATAAAAATAAATAATTGATCAATCATTTATTTTTATAATTTTTGTAAAAATTAAATAACAATTTATCTCAAAAAACCATAAAATGAAGGATTAGTCAATTGTTTATTTATTTATTTCATTCAAAAAAATTATTTAAGATATTTAACTTTTTTTTTTATTTGTATAAAACTTGCGTAATTTAGGTTTTTATTTAGAACAAAATATCAATTTTGGACAAGAAGGGTATTTCGTGTAAATTTTACATTAACACAAGGGGTTTTCACGTACGAAATAAATAAAACACAAGATGTTTTATTATTTTACAAAAATACAAGGAAGTGTTATATAATTTACCTTAAATACAATACTATCTTACGAAAATTTGCAGTAATTGAATAGTAAAACAGATAAATGCTAAAAAAAACACATTCGGGTTGTATTCAGTTTCAATTTTTATTATTCACCGTAATAAAATTTTACACAAATTTCTAACAATATATATTATAAAATATCACATCAAATTATTATTACACAAACTTATGATTCGTTTAGACAGAAATTTTGAAAGAAATTTTAGTTCGAAGAGTTTCGAATATTAATTGTTTTGAATAGTTTTCTTAGTATATATATAATAAATAATGTGATTGATGGTGTAAAATTAAAATTTAATTCAATACTTCCTCTTTCAATTCAAAATATTATTTTTACCAATTTCGTTCGTGTCACTCCGAATTATCAATTTCATATTTTAGTTAAAGTATCGTACACCAATACCAAAATACCTTTAACTTTTACATAAATTACAAACATAACATTACACGTACAATTACTTTTTACGGCAAAAATGTCAAAACTTCTTGTACATTTCCACTAACTAATAAAATATTATTATTTTTTAATTTACTACAAAATTTAAAGCACCATTTTAGGTCGGAATGGAGGGAGTATTAAATGGAAAAACATACTTCCTCCGTCTCATGTAATATGGGTGTATTACTGTAGATACGGGAATTCAGGTAAAGTATAATTAGTAAGTAATTAAGAAGTGTATTAGTAAAAATAATTATTATTTAGTAAAAATAATTATAGATTAAGATTAAGATAAATAAATAGTTTAATTAAAATTAAGAAAATTATAAAATTTAAAATGCGATTAAAGTGCATAATTATATTTCCAAAAATAGAAAGAACAACTTATGTGAGACGAGCGAAAATAGAAAATAGGAATAAATTATGTGACACCGAGAGAGTAATAAATATAATATTATACAAATATGGCCAATATGTATTTTGTTTTATAGAAATAAAATTTTACATAATATAAAAAATAAAAAATATTATTATATTATCAACTTAAAATAATTTTAAATAAAATAAGATATATATTTATTTATATAATACTTTTTCATCTCAACTAATTTGTCCACTTTAGTTGGGACACAAAGATATTTAATTAATAAATAATTAAAAATATATTTGTAAAAATAATTATAATATAATAAAAATAAATTTAAATTTAAATTAAAATGATGAAATAATTTAATTAAAAGAATTTTAAATTGCAATTAAAATATATAATTATATATATATTTTTAAAATAATGACTATGTAGGACGAGGTAGTAAAATATAATATAAAATTGAATATATTATTAGAGGAGCCCACTTACATTAATTTAGGCGGTAAGGTGCACTATTGTTCAAAATAAATATTGTCGTAGGGGTTTGTTCACATTGCATGTATTCTTAAATTAAATAATTTTTATAAATATTATTTAAAAAATATAATATATATTTCGTTCGTCCGATAACAAAGTATCAATTTTTTTTTTTAGTAACCATACTATATATATCTAACATTACAAATACCTTTACAACTTACAATATATTATACAAATATCATTACTTTTATATCACACATACTAATAAGATTATTTTAGTCATTGCTATTTTATTCCGACTATATCTCAATATAATACTAATATTTCTAAAACTACGTGCAAAAAGCAAATGAATATTTCTTTATGGAATGGAGGGAGTATTAATATAATACTTTATCCATCCCATTTAACATGAGTATATTACTATATATACGAAAATTTAGGTAAAGTATAATTAATAAATAATTAAAAAGTGTATTAGTAAAAATAATTATTATATAATAAAAATAATTATAAATTAAGATAATTAAATAGTTTAATTAAGATTAAAAAAATTATAAAATTTAAAATACGATTAAAATGTATAATATATTTTCAATAAAAGAAATGACAAATTATATGAGACGGAGGGAGTATATATTTTTATCTATTCATAAAATTTTATTTTTAAAAATTTAAAATATTACTCTGTCCTAATCTAGATGGGTATTTTATTTGACATTTTTATCTGTGATACTTTATATATAAATTATAAATAAATATAAAAGTTGAAGAACATTTTAGTATTAGTGTGCGAACTTATTTTTTATAACATGAGAACCCGTAGTCTCTACTCGTTGAGTGCGAGTGTGTTTTTGTATAAACCTTCGATCAAAGCTAATCCCACACTATTATGTCATCACTTACAAGAGTAGTGTCTGAATATTTTTACTATAATAGAATTATACACCATTCGTCTCAAAAAAATAGTTTCGTTTTGTCATTTTCGTTTGTCTCAAAACAATAGTCTTATTTTCATTTTTAGTAACTAACTCTCTACATTTTTACAAAATTATCCTCATTTTTTCACAGTAATTACATAAAAGTAATGATATTTTGATCTTTTAAAAACACTTTTACACTCACTATAAATATAATAATATTATTTCTTAATTCTCATGTCAATCTCAAATATCTCTATTGTTTTGAAACAGAATAAGTATTTTTTTAAAAATAAATAGACAAAAATAATAAATTAATAATACTTTCAGTTAAAACGAATCACATATATTTTTTATATTTCTAATACTATTATTTATATCTTAAAAACACAAAAACAAAAAATAAATAAAAAAATCATTTAATACATCCGTAAACAGATCCTCAAACTTTCATTACAGAAACTCAAACAAGACAAACCAATTTATTTTAAATATGCATAAAAAACAATACATCCAATATTTACATGTATAATATAATATAAATACAACACATAAATTAACGCAATAAATATTACTCCCTCTATTCCAAATAAGGTGCAACATTTGTTTTTGGCACGGATTTTTGCTGAGTAGTATTAAGTAAGATAATTTAGAAATTAAGTGATGTGATAGAGGGATAAATATATACTATTTTATTTTTTTATTTGGATGATGTGAGGGGATAAAGTGTAGAGTAGAGATTAGGGGTGTCAAAAGTAAACCCGACCCGAAAAATCGAACCCGTTCGACCTGAAATTTTTCAGGTTCGGATTTGGATATTTCGGGTTTGAAAAAAATCGGGTCGACCCGAACCCGAAACGAAAAAAATTCGTGTCGTGTTCGGGTCATGTTTCGGGTTGACCTGATAACTTGAAATATAAAAATCAGGTTAGGTTTTGGGTTTCGTGTTTCGGGTTAACCTGAAATTTTTATTATTATTATTTTAATTTATAATATTTATATTATTTTAAATATAAAATAATATAAAAATTAAAAAAATAATATTTTTTAGGTCAATTTAATTTTTTTTTAAAAATTTTCGGGTTTGTTTCGTATCGGGTTCGCATCGGGTTTGTTCGGGTTTCGGGTGACCTGAAACTAATTCAGGTCAACCTGAACCCGACCTGAAAGAATTCGTGTCGTGTTCGGGTCTAGGGTTTCAGGTCAGATTTCGGGTTCGGGTCAGGTTCGGGTTGACAGTTTTTTTGTTATCACCATGGCTCAACCCGTCACGAACACGACCCAAAAATACGAATTGACACCCCTGGTAGAGATTAAGTATAATTAATTATTTTCTATTTTGAGAAAGGAAATATTGCAGAGTGTTTAAGACATACAAAAAAAAAAAAAAAATGTTGCAGAATATTTGGAACGGAGGGAGTATAATAAAAAAAAATATATTTACACCGCACATTCTATAAATATACACAGTCAGTGTAGCGTAGCGTATGGCATCAATTAAAATATTGTATATTCAAATCAGCATTATAATAATATATCTCCCAATTTTTTAAATATTTTATTTAAAATTATTATTCAATATTATATATATATATATATATATTAAGTTGAGGTCCATATAAAGGGCAGTAGGATTGATTGATGAAACTACTGTGTTTGTGTAATTGAGATCCAATAAAACAATTCCATTAATTCTCATTCTCATTATTATTATTATTATTATTTCGTCTCTTCGCCGGCGGCGGAATATTCCGGCAAAGATTCGGATTCCGATGGGACGGAGTCCGTGCTGCGACAAGACAGCTGGACTGAGGAAAGGGAAATGGACAGCCGAGGAAGATGAAAAGCTCATTAATTACATCAACATCCATGGCGACCAAGGCTCATGGAGATCCCTCCCTAAAAATGCTGGTATTTATTTATTAATTAATTAATTTAATTATCCATTGCAGCACACACACGCACGCATGTGTGTGTGTGTGTGTGTTTTGCAGAAACTAGCGATGTCTGTAGGGAGAAGAAGAGAGATTACTGTGTGTGTGTTTTAGCAGAAATTAGTGATGTCTATAGAGATAAGCTTTTCATGACGTGTGTTAAAAGTTTAATCGAAGGTTTAGTGGAGTATAGGCTGTGTTTGTTTGGTTTTATTATTATTATTATTATTATTATTATTATTATTATTATTTAGAATTTTTTTACATATTTATATAGTTTTTATATCAAATATTTATTTTTATTTTTTTAAGGGTGTGTTTTTTTGGTTGAATTTGAAAAAATTTGGTTTGAATTTGATATTAAAATAATGTTTGATGGGATATTTTGTAAAAGGAAAATATATATATATATTTTTTTGAGAAAATGCAGAGTCCAAATAGTAAAATTTGGGAAAAAATAATATTTGACATGATGTTTTTTTAGAGAAAAAAATGTATATTTTTTTTTTTAAACGCAGAGTCCAAATAGTAAAATTTTAAAAAATTTGCATGAAGAAATATAGTTTAGTCTAAAGGGTGCGTTTGTTTGGGGGTTTGGATCTTGAGTTGTGATTTGAATAGTAAAAAATTTGAATTGGAACAGTTATATAGTGTTACATAAATAGGTGTTTGATTTGATATTTTTGAAAAAAATTTATTGGATGAATAGTAGAGTGGGAAAAAATTCCCAAACAAATACACTCTTAATATTACATCAAATAACAATTTTTATTTAAAATTTTACTATTTAAAATTTGAATATCCAAACACCAGACATAATAAAAACATAAATAGTCGATGGATGTGATGTTTTGAACTAAAAAATATCTTAAACTATAATTTTTTTAATAGAACGAGTATGTATCTAAAGATTTGCTTAAATAAAATTTTTGAAAGTTTTCGAGTTTCGGACAATTTAAAAAATAATTAAAAGTTAAGCATTTCATCTAACTTTTTACTAGAACAAAAAAATATATATTTGATATAATATTTTCTTTAAGAAAAAAACGACTATCGACAATTAATATTACAAATTTCAAAAATATTTTGTACTAAATATTGACAGGTCTGCTCCGATGTGGTAAGAGTTGCCGATTAAGGTGGATGAACTATTTGAGATCAGATGTTAAGAGAGGAAACTTTACTCACTACGAAGAAGAGACAATCGTCAAACTCCATAATTCGCTCGGCAACAGGTTTTGCTAATATTAAATTTAATTTTTATTATTATTCTTTCAAAAATTATATTTTAAATGACTAATAAAAATATATTATTTTTCATCGAATCTTTAGTTATTATTTTTTATTTTTTTAGCCCTTACAAATATTTTTTGACTCATGTTTTTTTAAAGTATTTTCATCTTCGACTCTTTTGATAATTCTCTTATTCAAATTTGTGTTTATTATAAAAATATTTTGCTTGTTTTTTTTTATTTATTAAAACTTATTTATATATTTTATTATAAAAATAAAAATGCTAATCATTATACATTTATGTTAAAACCGCGTGTTCATATATTTGAGCATAAAATTAAACAAATAAAATAAAATTATAAACATATATACAGCAAATATACGTATATAAAATTGCGAAATATTACCACATAAAATACCATACTAAAAGTAAAAAAAAAAAAAAAAAATTAATTACACCAAATATTTGTTTTATTTTTTTATTATTATTTTAAATTTTTAAAAATATTCTGAAAATTTTGTAATTTCTAAAATAAATATAATATATATTAACACAATACATATGATATATATTTATTTAATATATAAAGTCAATATTTTAACACAATATTTTCTTTTATATTACAATACAATTTTTTGTAAATAATCTAAAAATTACATCTATAAAAAAATATATATATATACAAAGCGAACAAAACTATTACTTCCTCCGTCTCGGTGCAAGATTGCCATTTACTTTTTAAGTATAAATTTTTAATATTAGTATTATAATGAGTTATAGTAAACAGACGAAAATACCTCTATTAGTATTGTGTAATATAAAAGTAATAACATTTGTGTAATATAGTGTAAGTTGGAAGGGTATTTATTATGTTAAATAGGCAGTACAATTACTAAATTGAAAATAGTAACCTTGTTTTGGGACGAACGAAAATGAAAAATGACAATCTTTCAATGAGACGGATGGAGTATTGTAGATGTATTTTATAAAATTATTGTCTAATACTTCTTTCGTCTCGTAACAAAGTATCAATTTTTCTATTTTAGTCTATCTCATAACAAATTATTCATTTCCTCTTTTAGTAACTGTACTATCTACCTAACATTACAAATACTCTTACAATTTACAATATATTACACAAATATCGTTACATTTATATCACACGATACTAATAAGGTTATTTTAGAGTATGTTTGTTTGGGGAATTTTAAAGCAAATTCACTATTCATCCAAATTTTCCCCTTAAAAATCAAATCAAACACCCATTTTTTTTATTTTTTTTTATATTATACTAAAAATTTATTTTACATTCAAAATATCACATCAACACCTATTTATATCACATCGTATCACTATTCCAATTCAATTTTTTTACTATTCAAATCTCAACTCAAAATCCAAACTCCCAAACAAACACACCCTCAATTCTACTTTATTCCTACTACATCCTAATATGATACTAATATTTCTAAAACTACATGCAAAAAGCAAAGGGATACCTAGTTATCGGACGGATGAGCAGAGTAATAGAAATGTAATTTTATTATAATTATAAATTGCCTAAAAGTTTGTGATAAAAAAAATAAATAAATGAATAAATGTTTTGGAACTTTAAACAGTATCATCTAAAATCTCAGCCCCACGGAGTCTTATTTTATTTTATTCTTTGAAAAGCGTGTGTTTTGGATTCTGGTGAAATTATTATGTAATATAATAATATATATATATATATATATTTTTATTAAATAGTAAAAGTAATTGGAAAACAAAATATAAAGAGAAATAAAAATATAAAGAGCAATAATTTGCTTTTGAAATGAATATGAAATTTGATTTAAATAATAATCTCTCCGTTCCAAACAGGTGCAACATTTGTTTTGGACACGAATTTTTAGGTGGATAATATTTACTATGATAATTTAGTAATTAAGTGATGTGATAGAGAGATAAATATATATATATTTTTTATTATTTGTGTGATGGGATAAGATAAAGTGTGGGATAGAGATTAACTATAATTAATTATTTCCTATTTTGAAAATGTTGCAAGCTATTTCGGACATGCCAAAAAGAAAATATTATATTAATATGATATTTTATTTGATAAAATAATATATATATATTTATAATAAAAATATATAGCATAAAATTTGATTTGAAATGAGAAGACAAACAACTAATGTATTGTTGGAAGACAAATACTCGTGTTTCAATTATTATTTTGTAATAATTTATTTTGCTAATATAATTTATTTAACATTATTAAAAATTATTTTATTTAAAATACCAAAATCAAACATCGTATTTATATTACATCAGCTACCATTCTGATTGTATATTTATTACTCTCTAAAACACAACCAAACGAACATGTGTGTTTTTTAGTTTTGAATTTTGATTTTAAATAGTAAAATTTTTGAATTAAAATCATTATTTGATGTGATATGGCGTAAATATGTATTGATTTTATATTTTTAATATAAAATTTAATTTTAGTATATTAAATAAAAAATTAAGTATTAGATTTAATATATTTGGAGAAAAAAATTTAAAATAGTAAAATCGAAAATCAAATTATACAAATAAACACATCCAAGTATATTTGGATTTTATAAAAATCAATATATTGTATTTAGAGTTAAATTTAATTTGAAATTTAAATCTACACACCATTATATATATATATATATATATTTCAAACTAAAAAAAAAAAAATCACATGATTTTTTAGTTTTGTTTTGTATTAATATAATAGTTTAATATATATTCTTTAATTAATTTTTTTTAAAAAAAAATATATAATGCTGAATTCTAGATATTAAATTCAATAAAAAAAAATTTTTTGTTAACAGAAAATAACATTCATAAATTAAAATAGATTAAGAAATAAAAACTTATTTTTAATGATTTCAGAATGCAGATATGGGCCTCTATTCAAATAAGAATTAATAATAAAATTATCATTGTTAATAAAATAAAGTTAAATAAATAATCTTCATTAAATATTTATAACTGATCTTTTATCTATCAATCACCAGGAGAGGTGTAATTAGTAGATAATTAAGAATGTATTAGTGAAAATAATTATCCTATAATATAAATAGTTATAAATTAAGATTAAAATAACCAATTAGTTTAATTAAAATTTAAAAAATAAATTAAAAATTTTAAAATAAGATTAAAGTGTGTAATCATTTTCCAAAAAATGAAACTGACATAAAATATGAGATGAACAGAAACGACAACGTGGACATAGTATGCGAAACAGGGGGAGTAATATTTTTATAATAGTATTTGAATAAGATATTTTATGAAAGAGTTATTTATATTTTAAAAAATAATTATTGTATAATCATACAAAGAGAAATTGTTATGCTTTTTTTATTTCTTAGTTTAGATTATTATTTATTTTTTTAAAATAACAAAAGAAATCAAATCATAAATTATTTAATTATTTTTTAGCATTTTATTTCAAGCGGGACAAATATAATGAATGACATTTATTAGCAAGGGTTCATAACCTATCTCGTCAATAAATAATACTATTATTTAATACATCGGTCTATAATTGACACGTTCGATTATTTATATTTAATTAGTTAATAATAATGAATTATAATATTATTTTATTATTTTTATATAATTAATTATATTAATAGTTAATAATAAATTTAATATACATATTAAGAATGACCACTCTTACTGACACGTGTCCTTTATGACCGTTACAGGTGGTCCGTGATCGCCAGTCATCTTCCCGGTCGCACGGACAATGAGATTAAGAATTACTGGAACTCTCATCTCAGCCGTACGATCTACAGGTTCAGATCCCTAGGTCGGGGATCAAACGCTCCTCCTGCTGCCACGCGTCCCATTAAGACGACGCCCACCTTCAACAACACTTCCCGGACGGGCCCTGACGCGACACCCGGCCCGGCCCAGACCGGACCGGCCCGTTTTCAAAAGCCCGATTCCACGCCGCTGCAATCCTCGCCGGCCTGCAGCGTGTCGGAATCGAAGGAGACAAACAGCGGCGGCGGAAATGTTGCCGGAATCTCGAGCGACGATGATGACGTGGAATGGTGGCAGCTGGCATGCCCGTCGCCGCCCGACGATGGCCTCCGGTTTTACGACGAGTTTCTCTGGTGGGACGGCGCCGCCGCCGCCGCATTTGACGGCGACTTTGCGACGGCGGAGGACGACGATGTCGGCGGATTGCTGATCTGGCAATCGGACGTGGCCGGCATGTTTAATTATAATTAAATAATTAATTTTATTTAAGTGGTTGTAAGTAAGTGACAAGCGAGTGATATGAATAATGGAGTACCTCAACCTTTTTTTTTTTTATAGAAGTATAAATTTTAATATTTTTTTCCTCACGATGCAAGGTTGCCGTTTATTTTTTATATGTAGAGTTTTTAATATTAGTATTATAATAAATTATAGTGAAAAAGACAAAAATGTTCATATTAATATTGTGTAATATAAAAGAAATGACATTTGTGTAATATAGTGTAAGTTGGAAGGATATTTATTATGTTAGACATGTAGTATAATTACTAAATTAGGAAATAGTAACCTTGTTTTGAAACGGACAAAAATAAAAAATAACAAATTTTCAATTGGACGGAGGAAGTATAAAATATTACTCCCAGTTAAATTTAAAACATTCGATTCCGGAAAATTAAGAAAAATAAATATTTAAAGAGAAGATAATGTAGTATCATTTGATATGAATAAATGTTGAATGAAGGATAATTATTTAACGTTGATTTGTTAATTTTGTCAAAATTAATAATTGAGTAAATTTAACGAACAAACTAAAAAATCATAACAATAAATTTGATGTACATATAAATATTTTTTATATTATTGATATTAAAAAACATATTCGTAAGAAAATGTTTATTTAGTATGGTTATTTTTATGTTTAAGTTTTGTCTATTAAATTTATCAGTCCAAGTGGTGCTGTCATTTACAAAATAAATATTTCCTCCGTCCAATTGAAAGGTAACCATTCTTCATCTTCGATCGTACCAAAACAAGGTTATTATTTCCTAATTTAGTAATTGTACTACCTACTTCATATAATAAATACCCTTTCAATTTACAATATATTACACAAATGCCATTACTTTTATATTACACTATATTAATAGGGGTATTTTTGTCTTTTTACTACAATCTAATATAATACTAATATTTAAAAATCTACGTACAAAAAGCAAACGCCACCCTTGTTGCGAGACGGAGGGAGTATTTTATTGAAAAAATATATACATATATACACATTATTGAATGTATTTATAGAATTTCAGTAAAAATTTAATTAATAAGCAATTAAAAAGTGTATTATTAAAAATAATTATTGTATAGTAAAAATATATTATAGATTAAAGTTAAAATTAAAATAACTAAATAGTTTAATTAATATTAAAAAATTTAAAAATTTAAAAATTTAAAATTTGATTAAAGTGTATAATTATATTTTCAAAAAAAAAAAAACAAATTATGTAGAACGGACGAAAATGAAAAATAGATATAAATTATGTGGGACGGAGAAAGTAAATGTTAATAGAATTATATAATAATAATTAAATATTTTTTAATTCAAAATTAATAATAGAAATAAATTTAAGAGATCCAAAGTAAATCATAATACTCCCTCTATCCCACATAATTTGTCTCTATTTTCTATTTTTGTCTGTCCTACATAATTTGTTCTTTTCTTTTTTGAAAAATTAATTATACACTTTAATCATATTTTAAAATTTAAAATTTAAATTTTTTTTAATCTTAATTAAACTATTTATTTATCTTAATCTTAATATATAATTATTTTTACTAATACACTTCTTAATTATTTACTAATTATATTTTACCTAAATTCTCGTGTCTAATTACATCGGACGGAGGGGTATAAATTTATTATTCATTTTTAAAATTAAAACGAAAATGATTGTGCAAGCAAACAACACAACAGATTATATTAGATGAATCCATCTGATTGTTCTTGTCCTGTCGGTAGAAATGTGGTCACAGATGTGACGTCACATCCAACAAATTTGTTTTATGTTAAATTATTGCACTATCTACCGTCCTACGTAATTTGTCCTTATTTTCTATTTTCGTCTGTCTCACATAACTTATTCTTTCTATTTTTGAAAATATAATCATGCACTTTAATCGCATTTTAAATTTTATAATTTTTTAATTTTAATTAAACTATTTACTTATTTTAATCTTAATCTATAATTATTTTGACTAAATAATAATTATTTTTACTAATATACTTCTTAATTACTTACTAATTATACTTTACTTAAATTCTCGTATCTACAGTAATACACTCATATTACATGGGACGGAGGGAGTACTAATTAAGCTTAATTACTTATAAATATTAGCATTATATTGAGATGTAGTAGAAATAAATGTAAAAAGATTAAAATAATTTTATTAGTATTGTATGATATAAAGTTTAATAATATTTGTGTAATATATTATAAATTGGAAAAGTATTTGTAATGTTAGATAGATAGCATAATTACTAAAAAATTGATACTTTGTTATGAGACGGACCAAAATGAAAAAATGGATATATTGTTAAGGGGATGAGGTAGTATTATTTTATTATTTTTTATATAATTAAAAATATTTTATAGTTTTAAATAAATTTTCTGTATATTATTAAAAAATTTAGACTATATTGTTAAATATTTTAAAAATTATATCGCAAATAAGAATATATCCAATATAAATATTATTTGGCAGAGAATAAATTTTTATACAAATACATAAAAATATTTATTTATTTATTTATAATTAAGATAAATTAATTTTATAAAATATAATAAATTTTAAATATAAATAAAAATATTTATTTTTTTAAGAAGGATATAAATAAAGTAGTTTTGAATGAGTCTTGTATTATGTATGATGTTATATTATATACTTGATTAAATTAATTAATATTTGTTAAATATACTTTGATTTAAATTTTACCTAAAATACAAATGTATTATTTGGGACGAGACAAACAAAAATAAAAAATGTATCAATTAAAATGGAATAACTATTGTTTTTAAAGTTTTATATTATGTCATGAAAAAGATACATTTTTTTTTTTTTGTTGGTTAACAAAAAAAATGCTAATTAAAATTTCTTTTTTTAGTAAAAATTATTCTTCTTCTGTCTCATTAGAAAGATATTATTATTATTATTTTTTTTTTGTTTCCAAAACAAGAGTGTCAATTCCTAATTTAATAATTGTATTACATATCTAATATAACAAATACATTTACAATTTACAATTTATTACACAAATATAATTATTTTTATATTACACAATATTAACAGGGATAATTATTTATATATATTACATAATAAAAATATATAAAAATAAATATATTATTGTGGATTTTTAAGGGGTGATAAATAAAATAATTTGAATGTTAAGATAAATATGATGCGGATGAGAGAGATAAAAAGAGATAATGAGGTAAAAGTAATGACTATGACAGATGCTCTAAGTGGGTAAAATGTATATATTATATATTTTTTGTATTGATATATATATGAATATTATTATTTTTATAATATTTAGGAGGAATCATATTATCAGAAAAATACAAAATGAACAAATTCATATCTAGTCTGTTTTATTTGTTTAATTTACTTTAATACGATTTTTTAGATGATATAATTTTTAAAACTTTCTAAATAAAAAAATTTATAAAAATTAAGACATTAAAACTAAATACTACTCCCTCCGTCCAATACAATAGTCCTATTTACCATTTTTGTCCGTCTCAAAACAATAGTCTCATTTCCATAAATAACCATATCACTATAAAACTACCCTTACTTTTTCATTATTATTACACAATTGTCACTACTTTTTACACTAACATACTCACAAGGACAAAAAAATCTTTTATCTATATTTTTTTACCCACTATTAATATAATATCAATATTTTTTAAATTTTGTGCCAAACCCAACCCAGGCTATAATTTTCAAAGTAAGATTTTATTTTATTTTTTTGTTTAAATGTGTAAAACAAATATAAATTTAAGTAATAGTCATTATTGTTATTATGATTGGATTGGAGATGATTGGGGTAGATGATTAGCACCAATAATATCTATATTGAATGATATAATATTTTATTAATATATATTATTTGTTGAGATTAATTGTAACTAATGTTATTTGAATTATTATTATATATACTGTTATCTCATTTGCTAGATTTATACTATATTAATATAAATTATATAATAAATTATTTTAAAAATAATTACATACTGCATTCTCATCTTAATTTTTTAATTTTAATTAAAATACTTAATTATTTTAATATATAATTATAATATATTAAAATAATTATTTTAACTAATATATTTTCAATTATTTACTAATGATATTTATTTTAGATTTCTATTATTATAGTAATTCGAACACCATAGCCAAGACAAAAAATATATTACTTTCTCTGTCTCCATTCAAATTATCATTTTGATTATTTTCGTCCGTTCCACTTTATTTCACTAAAAAATATCTATTTTTTCTTTTTTTTAAAAAAATAATCATAAAGTAATATAAAAATACATTTAATTTATACTTAAATTACAAATATATTATTATATATAAATTAGCTTATACGTAAAGCCAAAGTATAAAAATATCAAAATTTCTTATACACTTTCATTAACTAATAAAATATTACTCCCTCCGTCCCATACTGCATGTCCAAGTTACTGTAAACACGAGAGTTAAAGATAAATATAATTAGTAGATAATTAATAATGTATTAATAAAAATAATTATATATTAAAATTAAGATAACTAATTAATTTAAAATAAAATTAAGGTGTGTAATCATTTTCGAAAAAGAAAAATAACATAAGATGTGAGACGAATATAAATGGCAACGTAGACATAATAAGTGAGACAGAGAGTATTCTTTCTTAATTTACTATAAAACGGGTTTTTCTTTTGATAAGTTTGGAAAAAATTTGGTATAAAAATAATATTTGATGTAATATTTTGTGAAAAAAAAAATACTCCCTCCGTCCCATAAGAAGGGTTTCATTTTCTATTTTCGTCCGTCCCAAAATAAGGGTACCATTTTCTAATTTAGTAATTGTACTACTTACCTAACATAATAAATACCCTTCAAACTTATAATATACTCCCTCCGTCTCATAACAAAGTATTCATTTTTCCATTTTAGTCTGTCCCATAACAAAGTATCAATTTCATTTTTTTAAGTAACTGTACTTTCTACCTAACATTACAAATACCCTTACAACTTACAATATATTACACAAATGCCATTACATTTATATCACA